GATCAATATTGAAGGGGTCAAAATATTTCAGAAAGGTTTTAATACCCACAAGGAAAGATTATGACAGCAGAAGTGCTGTAGATATGGGCGAACAAGAACAGGCTGAACCGAAAAGATGGTATTCAATTGGCGACTACCTGGCAAATACCGTTTGACAAGTAATTTGAACCCTATCTTTATTCAACCTGTTTATATTTCTTTCACATGCATCGTTATATTTTTAGTCTGAATTCAATGAGGTTTTAGCAATACAATTATGTATCTATCAATTTAGGTGTTGTGGAGATTGTCGAGTTTTTGATTGAGATCATGAACCGATTGATATTGGACCACCATTGAAAACCTGGATGCATTGGACGGTCGTTTCGAATCTCGCGAGACGCGGTCGTGGATGCGCACTGCTGAAGAGTTTAACAAGAGGACGAAACGGCCGTCCAGTGCTTCCAGGTTTTCAATGGTGCTCTAATATCAATCGATTCATGATCTCAATCAAAAATTATGTATCTGTTTGTTTCTTAAATTTTGACATGTACATCAATGATTCATTAACAAGTTATTCAACCTTGAACTTGCACTTTTATTTACTTATTTACTTATCCCTCCATATATATATATATAACATATTAACACAGAATATCAATGATAATTAATCTCATACATACATACATACACACACTCACACACACATACACAATTTGATGTTGTCACGGGTAATTGTTTCCATATAGCTGAATTATTCACGGACTTATTTAATCCTAATTTACAAAAATCAAAATCAACAACCAAATTTGATTGGTTTTAACAACGTACTGTTATGATTGTTACAAGGCTCTATATATATACATAGATTTCTTTGATGATTTAGATTATTCTACTCTGAAGAGGAGGCTCAGTCAAGTTAGTGGGACGAAACGTTGGAATTGTTATATGTAAATTTCAATCTCTGAGATTATTTCAAAAATATAATATTCATATATAATGTCTTGATATTTGTACTGGAAATTCTGACTTTGGGATAGAATAGGCCGCCCACTGTCATTCATTCTGCCCTGGGCAATCTTTCCCACTTAGTTCCAGTTGCTATTCATCATTTTGATGTCTGCTTCCGATGCTCGATGTAGTTTGTACTTTTGTCTTCTTATTTTCCCTTTTTCTTCAGGATTCTACCTGTAGCTCTATTAGGGCTAATCCTTGTCCCAAGTCCAAATAAGTAGCAGATTTGGGTATCGGGTTAGAAACCCCATCCTGTAGAAAAAAACCTTGTTTAAAAAATACGCAAATCAGAGGCTGTGATACTTAAGGATCAATCTTGATTTCTTTTGTATATACTTATAGACTATCTTATTACAACGTTACAGTTGTAATCAATGATATGGTTGAAACGAAACTATTCTTTACTGAATTGTCCTCACTTCTTGATATATTCCTCGATAACGTTGATCATGATTGTTTCCTCGAGAGAAGGTCTGAAGATTTCACCAGCAGTAATCTTAGAATTATTTAAATTTAAATCACCGACATTATTTTATGTATATAGTTTGTAAGTTGAATATCTTCTATACATCTTTTTATGAATAATTGATATTTACTAGGAATTTAGTCGAAGAGCCCTTGATATGTACTTCTTAAATGATATAATATCAGCATTGATGTACCTAATTCATTATGAAGTTTGACAACTTTTAAGCTAACAACCGACGGAATTTCATTCAACACGATATTTATTTAGTCTTATTTGGAAACTTGGAAAACTACAACAACTATCATCAAGAAGGTATAAGTATTCATAATTAGTTGCCTACGCAAGATATTCAACATCCGTTGACCGGATATCATCAGCAACGGCCTACTGTGGAATAGGACAAACAAGATTCCATCTCAAGAGGAAATGAGTACAGATTCTGGAAGTGGATAGGATATACATCAAAGAAATCATCAAACTGTATCACGAATCTGGAAGAGAAACGGAGAAGAGGAAGACTGAAGAACACATTACGTCAGCAAATAGAAGTAGATATGAAAAGAATGAATATCAACTAGAAACAACTGGAAAGGATTACTTGGGTCACAGTTAGATAGAGAGTGTTGATGGGCTGCCTACGCTCCTCAATGAGAAGTAACAGGCGTAAACAAGTAAGTAAGTAAAACATTTTTTGGAAATAAGTTTGATCACGAAATAAAGTACCACAGTATCTTTGAAATGAAATAACCAATGTATATTATTAAACATTTCAGAGCTAAACTAAAATCACTTTCCTACACAAGGTAATACTCAATAGGTTTCCATGTGGGTATAACTCTTTAATAAAACCTAATCTTTACAAACTATTCAATGTAATTTCATTTTGACTTAATAAAATATTAATAAAATCTATACATTACCATCGATGAAAGCTTAGAACTACTAGATGGTATTCATTGATGGTCTAACATTGATAGATTTATGATTTTAATGAAATTCAACAATCTCTATAACCCCTAACGGAAAAATTATGTATCAATCAAAAAAGGCGAACGGAATATATATTCACCACACAAGTCACTTGATTTGTATGTGAGCTGTGATACTGCTCAAATGCCCAAATCGAAACAGGTGGTTTTCTTAAGGGCTCACGACTAAAGCCTTTGAAGTAAATGCCTGATCCAGAAGGCTGTGGAACAATGTCAGGAGATGTATTTCCATGATAGTTGATGACCAACGATTGGTTCATACGTCATTTGTCCCTTCAGGAACGTAGAGCCCATGTGAGGTATTGGTTTGTAATCAGGGTTTCCTAACTCCCCTACGTGGACTCTACGTATTCATCGACCCGGTTAAAGCATTGGACATTCGCTTTTCGTCCTCTTAATTCCGCAAACAACACACGTGGTGCGAGAAGGCAGTAAGTAGTACTTCCCTGTTAGTGACTATATACACGTGGCCATGTGAGAACATTTCGTGAGGGAGAGCTGACTCTCCTCATTCTCGACCATACAAGAGCGTTTGGAGGCAGTATTGACGAATGTATTGATGACAGAGGGAGTTGAATCTCTCCACTCTCACTGTACCAGGGTTTACTTAGAAATTATTTTTTTCAAAAATTCTGAAGTTTCAAATGCAAATTTGATAAAAACTAGACATTTTTCCATGTTGTTTTATCAGGATTCAATCAAATCCAATCATACACAGTAGACATCATTAGAAACAATGCTATACTGTTGAAAAAAAAGGTGTTCGTTGTAAACAATTGCTTAGAATTGATGGGTACATTGAATGTGTTAATTCTAAATGATCCATAGGCTACTAGTTAGAGATGATAAATTGAACTACTGAATAATCTGTTCACAATTGATTATTATGCAAAAGGGAAAATTATTCTGATTCACAAAACTTGCTATCAATTTAGTAAGTTGGAAAAAATGTTAAGGGCTACCAACACTAGAGGTTTATATCATATCAGACCATAGAATGAATTAATATATCTTTATGGTATGTTACATGTTATATATGACTGATTGGTATAATTATGATAATACAGATAAGCTATTTTGACAATCACTAGTTCGTTTCACATTACTCACTTACTTACTTACTTACGCTTGTTATTCCTCGTCCAGGAGCATAGATGTCATCCAACAGCACTCGCCGTCCAACTCTGTCCTAGACAATACTTTCCGGCTCTTTCCAGTTGGTATTCATCCTTTTCATATCTGCTTCTATTTGCCGATATAATTTGTTCTTTGGCCTTCCTCATTTCTGTTTCCCTTCAGGATTCCAAGTGAGGGCTTGCCTCGTAATGCAGTTTGATGATTTCCGTAATGTATCTTCTATCCATTTCCAACGTCTTTCCCGAATTTCCTCTTCAGCTGGAAGTCCCTTTATTCTCTTCCAAATGAAAACAAAAATATTCATTAGTTTTATTGTTAGTCTGTGAAGTTGGTTAAAACAGTAATATGATTAGAATGGGATTCATGGAGATTGTAGTAATTTTTAATAGTTGGATTCATGATTGGACCAACATAGAAAACCTGGAAGCACTGGACGACTGTTTCATTCCAATATGGGACTCTTCAGTGTCAGTGCGCATCCATGATCCCACACACGGGATTTGAACCCAGGACCTTCGGTTTCATGCACTTACATCGATTCATGAATTGAACTATTAGAAATTATTATAATCTTCACAAACCTCATTCTGATCATAATCGCCATGTGATCACTAGTGACTGGCTTCAAAAGATATTTCCTGGAATTCTAATGTGAACTTCAACCAGATCTGTTGTGAAGACAATGGTGGATATATCGCTCAATTCCGTGGATTAATTGAAGTTATACATTAACACCGTTGGATATCGGCTCAATGGTCTAGTGGTTAAGCGTTCGCGCACGAGACTGATGAGTCCTGGATTCCATTCCCAAATACAAGATCATGGATGCACACTGCCACTAAAGAATCTCATACTAAGAAGAAACGATTGTTCAGTGCTTCCAGGTTTTCAATGTATTTTATTATTATTATATTTATCAACTTAAATACTTCTGTTTTTTCTGACATCAATCGATATATCGACTTAGGTGTTGTGGAGATTGTCAAGTTTTTGATTGAGATCATAAACCGATTGATGTTAGACCACCATTGAAAACCTGGAGGCATTGGACGGCCGTTTCGTCCTATTGTGGGACTGAAGGCCCTGGGTTCGAATCCCGCGAGCGGGATCGTGGATGCGTACTGCTGAACAGTCCCACAGTAGGATGAGACGGCCGTCCAGTGCTTCCGGGTTTTCAATGTATTTTATTATTATCTGTTTTTTTTCTGACATAAATCGATATACTTCAATCTGTATGAAATAATTAGACATTGACGCACATAATTATGTATGTTTGTCTATGTATGTGTGTGCATGTGCATGTGCGTATTTATATGTGGTTTAACATGGTTTAACCAATCAGCATTTTCTATGTGTTCAAGGTCATAACGGATTTGTATTATAAAATAGAAAGACCGGTCAATTTAATTTAAATGATTACAGAATTACAAAAGATTAAACCAATTCATGAAGAGAATATACCAAAATTCAATATTACAATCCATGGAATTAATGATCATGTGAATATACAAAAATTAATTACATTATTATTCCCATCAGAATATGAAACAAAGAATATTGTTGTCAAGGTAAGAATTATGTTAATTGTATAAGCTTTCAAGAATCATCATCTTATGTATTACTCATCTTGAAGAAGTACTTGTAATTGAATATTGAATATGGTGAAGTTGTCAAAGAGTAGACTGTAGGCTGTAGACGTCCTTAATTGGTAAGAGAGCATACGCGAAACATTGATATATCTAACTTATTAAGATTATTCTGACATAGGTGGAGTGGCCAAGTGATCCAAGGCGTTGGTTTAAGGCACCAGTCTGAAAGGGCGTGGGTCCGAATCCGAACTCCATCACAACCTTGCCCTCCAAATGTTCTGGTACGGCCAAGAGTGGGGAGAGTCCACTCTCCCTCTCCAAATGCTCTCATATGGTCATGCGTATATAGCCTCTGCCAGGGAAGTCCTACTCATTGCCTTCTCGTAAAGGGGGTGTTTACGAAAATGAGAGGACGTAAAGCGAATGTCCGGCACTTTAACCGGATCCCAAACAAATGGTGCACATAGGCTTGTTCCGGTATCCTGAAGGAACAAATGGAGTATGAACCAATCGTTGGTCACCGGCTACCATGGGACTGCATCTACTTACGATGCTCCACTGCTTGTGGATCAGACCTTTAGATCGAAGTCTCGGGGTGTGACCTCCTAAAAAGACCACCTGCTTCGGTTTGGGCACCCAGGCAGTATCACAGCTCTCACACAAATCAATTGAGATTCGTGTGGCTCATATGTATTTGGTGTCTCCTTGTACCAATATCTATGTGTTAAAATAAATAAATAAATAAAATTCTGACATAAAGAAGATTATGATCAAAAATGTTGCAACATCAAGTAGATGGACGAGAATGGTCATGGCATAACTTTATGACACTTTGTTAGGCGATCGGTAGCATCTCTAGTGCTCATGCAGGAAGACAATAAAAGAAGTTTTCTAGTTATTGTAATTTGAGACCTTCTTGAATGGATTACCTTGAGGAGTTTGGTGTTTCGTACATGAAACAAACTTTTAATAATTACTATGATTTCTACAAAACCTAATTCTGATCATAACCATCATATGCTCATTAATGACTGGTTCCAAAAGGTGATTCCTGGAGTTCTAGTGAGAAGCAGTGACCAGCGGAGTTCACTCGCGTCTATTTTTAATGGAGTTTTGTTCTCTGAGCTGAATGGTTTGGTTATGGAGCTTTCATCGTTCGTCTGAATGATATCATCAGCATAAACTTCTAACTGAATTACAAATATTCTCAACCATCTCACTCGGGTCTGTTGTGAGATAGTAACTCACTGATGACAATAGTGGATGTGTCGCTCAATTTCATGAATTAATTGAAGTTAGACATTAACACCATTGGATACTGGTCAGCTCAGTGATCTAGAAGTTAGGCGTTCATGCATGAGGCGGGATAGTGAGTGCGCGCTGATGAGGAGTCCCGTGCTGGGACGAAACGGCCGTTCAATACATCGAAGTTTCCCATAATGATCTAGCTTCAATGGACCCATAAACTTACTTATCAAATAACTACACTATTCACAATATCTCCCTTTTGTGTTAATTCTATAATCAATGATATATAAATTCTTTTTACAGGTTTTAAATAAAGGCTATTCAAATCAATTAATCTTCATTGATAATAAACAATATTCCATTTCTTTAACTGGAATACCATCATTACTTATTCGTATTTATGGTCATTTAACCACATCATTAATAGATCGAACAAATGAAATGAAATATATAAAAATAGTTAGAAAATTAAAAGGTTATCAACAATTATATGGAATATTTAATAATGGATATGTATATTCCTATATTGATGGTTGTGATATTTCATTGGAAAAATTATATGATATAAAATATGGCAGGTAAGTAGTTGATTGTGATTATGAATCAATTGAAGGCACTGGGTTCGAATCCTGCCAGTAGGATCATGGATGTGCAATTAGTCAGTCGGTTAGTCAGCTACAACGTAGGAGCACGCATATATATCTAACACTCCAAGTTACTATATCTCATTAGCACAACAATATGAACAACGAAGTCATAGAAGAAGTTAATTCAATGATAGTAATAGAGATTGTGTATAAGGATATAATACAGGAAGAAAGAATTATTTGGCAGAAAGAAAGATCTAAAGCGATTTAAATCTCTTAGCTTAAGGGAAGACAGAGAGTGTATACACACTCAAACCATTTTGATCGATTATGAGCCATGTCACCCACAGTCTATAACCATTGGTTACGATAGTCACGCCGACCACAAACAAGTAGTCTGCATCTACCAACATGGTTCATACCAAAAGTTAGTGACTTCAAGTACTGGTGCCACATTTTGGTTTGTCCTTCACTAACTTTCCCCAAACCAACTCCAACACCAATCAGCATTGTGCGTCGTGATAATCAGTGTTCATTCATACGAAACACGTGGCACAACCATCTCAGTTGATGAAGATTCATAGTGTCATCAACCGATTTACCGTCATCAGTCCCTTATACCCTATATCTAACCTCACTATTACTTACCCAATGATCCCAGAAGACGCTAGCACTTCTGGGCAATCACACAATAGGATGAAACAACCGTCCAGTGCTTTCAGGTTTTCAATGGTGGTAATCTAACCTCGAACGATTTATGATCTTAAGAAAAATTATTATTTCACATTCCAAGATGAATTGACAATTCATTGATTGATTAATTGATTGATTGATTGATTGATTGATTGATTGATTGATTGATTGGGAGATTTAATTTTTAAAACAATATGATTAAGATCCATATTCATTTGCTTGACACTGAAATTCCTTTCAAACAAAACTATAACTCACTCAAGTACTCATTTAAATGAATTTATGATAATTTACAAATATCTCATCTTATTGAGAAATGGTTGAACATAGTAAGTAAGAAATTATGGACTTAGATATTGTGCTAGTTTGCAACTATTCGTTAGGATAGGCTTATTATTTTGTAATGGATTGATGCTCGCAGTGTGATTCGAGGCTACGTCACAATGAGTTACAATTGGAGATGTTATCAGTTAACTATTTGAGCCGGGATTAACCTCTTATAAGACTTAAGCGTTTATGATTGATTAATCAATAAATAGTAACCAGTGTTACGTTTGTCTAATCTTTACTATCGATCAGTTTCTATCAATCAAGTTTCAGCATGTTTCACAGATCATAGAGATAGGAGATAAGATCTGGACATTGCAATTGCGCAAGTGCATCCACTATTTGTATTCTCCCGAATTCTAATCTTCTGAACTCTTCATGTCCCTCTTCAAGCCCTAATGTTTTCGATTACTGCTTATACTCTTACTACCTCCACTACTATGGGATTTGAATGGACAATTGTATCTCTGTACTAATGTAGCATGGCAAGTCGAACTGATGTACGTACGTACGTACGAAGTTCTACGTTGTTACTGACTATTTATATTTATTTGAATACATAAATACTGGTACAAGGGGGCACCAGATATATATATATATATATATATATATATATATATATATATACACCACACAAATCTCATTTGGTTTGCGTGGGGGCTAGGATACTGCCTCGGTGCCCGAACCGAAGCACGTGGTTTTTTTAGGAGGCCACACCTGGAGCCTCCGACCTGAAGATCTAATACAAAAGGCAGTGGAGCAACGTGAGAAGTTGTAGTCCTATGGTAGTCGGTGACCGATGATTGTTTCATACGCCATTTGTTCCCTCAGCATACTGGAGCCAATGTGCACCATTGGTTTGGAATCATGGTTTCCTAACTCCTCTGGGTGGACTCTGTATGTCCACCAATCCGGTTAAAGCGCCTGGGTTTCTCTATTCGTCCTCTCAATTTCGTAAACAACATCTGTGGTAAGTAGGACTTCCCTAGCAGAGACTATATACACGTGACCATGTGAGAGCATTTAGAGAAGGAGAGCGGACTCTCCCCACTCTCGGCCGTACCAGGGCTGACTGAAATGCCTTAACTTAATAGATTTCAAGAAATATCTACTATTGGATAATATCAATATCATTGATTAATTATATACAATATATTATTGATTTTCATACAGGTTAATTGCAGAGAAATTAGCTCAATTACATTGTTTACCAATTGATGAATTTATACAAATAGAAAATAAGATAATCAAACCAGAATCACAAATATTTTCAACCCTATTAAAATGGATAAATAGACTGAATGATGAATTTATTCATTCATTAAGAAAACGGAATAAGTAAGAATTTCTTCTTTTTTTTTTTTGTAAAATAAATTAACTATACTACTATTTATACTACTATTATTCTATATGTATAGATGTATATACGGTTGTAAAAAAAGGTGGTCAATAAAAGTGGAAGATATTTGTAAACTAATAGTATTTGATCACAGATATTTTTAGAAATAGAGCTCACATCTTCTGGGATCATCGGGTAAGTAATAGTGAGGTTGAACGTAGGGTATTAAGGAATGATGATGGTGAATCAGTTGATGACACTGTGAATCTTCATCAACTGAGATGGTTGGGCCACCTGTTACGTATGTCTGAACACTGATTATCACGACGCACAATGCTGATTGGTGTTGGAGATGGTTGAGAGAAATTTAGTGGAGGATAAACCAAAATGTGGCATCAGTACATGAAATCACTAACTTCTGGTATGAGCCATGTTGGTAGATGCAGACTACTTGTTTGTGGTCGGCGTGACTATCGTAATCAATGGTTATAGACTGTGGGTGACATGGCTCAGAAATGATCACAATGGCGTCAGTGTATACACTCTTTGTTCTTCCTTACACAAAGAAATTTAAATCGCTTCATATATTTCTTTCTACCAAATAATTCTTTCTTCCTGTATTATATCCTTATACACAATCTCTATTACTATCATTGAATTAACTTCTTCTATGACTTCGTTGTTCATGTTGTTGTGCTAATGAGATATGGTAACTTGGAGTGTTAGATATATATCCGTGCTCCTACGTTGTAGCTGACTGATTGGTCAAAAGTACAGTTCAGATGCAAAACACTTGCGCACCAACGACATTTGAAGGTGATTTTGAACTATTACCAAATGATTGGATATGGAAATGTAAGTTGTCGGTTACTGATTTAATGGTCTAAATGTTAAGCACTTGTTATGACGTCCTGAGTTCGATCTCAAGTTGCGTGATATCACTAGGTTGTCCCACATAATGACAAAACAACTTTGCAGTATCTTGTGGTTTTCAACGGTTATCTAGTTCATGATGTAAATCATAAAATTCAAGAATCTTCACATACGTGTAACACCAATCATGTTTTCAGTACTATGATGCTTATAACTTGAGCACTCAAACATTCGAACCCCCCGAATTCGCAAACGCGAAGATAGAAGACAAGTAAAAGGGATGCTATTCCAAAGCAGTGACAATTATGGCACAAAACTGTCAGGTATTTATAGTTTTTAATAAAAATGAAATCATCGTTATAGTCATCCAATCCGCATACAGGGGGTTATTAGCATTTTTGCAATAGGAAGCTACACATCGGGATTCTGGAATATTCTTCGAAAAGATGATTGGATGGAATATCTTCGGTTCTTTCTGAGCTTCTTAGAGCTTCCTCGAGTTCACCTATGAACCATCCTCACAAAAATACAGATAGAGTTGACGTGCAAAGCACTTGCACGTCCCAATATGGGACATCTCAGCTGTTAGACGTTAACATCTGTTAATACCAGCTCAGTGGTCCAGAGATTAAGAGTTCACACGCGAAAACGGAGATCTTGGGCTCGAATCCCACGTGTGGCATCGCGGATGCACACTGCTGAGGACTCCAATCCATTTTTTTCAATGTTCAATATGTGCATGTGTAGTTTCTCAAGCATTTTCGGACAATTTTTCGTTTATTTAGTGGATCAAGGAGGGATGTAAGATAGATGGATGAATGATTTTCCCCAAACTCTGTTGTCCAATACACTTTGAATTACATTGATTGTCTAATTTAATCTAATTCATGATGTAAACTAAATAATCATCTCTTATCTTAAGAAAACCTTTTCATCATCTTCATTACTTCATGATTTCACTTTTGATAAAGTTATCTAACTGTATGATGAATCTATCAAACCTACAGGGAATTACAAGTTTTGATCCTTATTTTCATGTTATCATAGATCAGTACTAAACCTGTTATGAGTATTTAATCATAGGTGTCTTCGAAACATTGCTCGTATATCCTGGGACCACCGAGTAAGTAATACAGTTGTTAGGAAACGGGTACTAGGTAAGGATGGCAAATCAATTGAGGAAGTAGTGAAACTTAATCAGTTGAGATGGCTGGGACATGTGTTGCGCATGCCCGACCACCGACTGCCCCGACGTGCTATGTTTTCTGGTGTAGGAGTAGGTTGGAAGAAATCTAGGGGCGGTCAGACCAAAACATGGCACAAATCCACGAAGTCACTGACAAGTGAACTGAGCCATGCTGGTAGATGTAGACTACCTGGTTGGGGACCTCAACCGATGGTTAGAGACCTTGAATGACATGGCTCAAAATCGTTTGCAATGGCGCAGGTGCATCCACTCTCTGTGTTCTCCCAAATTCTAATCTTCTGAATTCTTCATGTCGTTTATTTTTTTTCCAAATTTATTCCACTGGATTATACTCCTTAAATAACATCTTCAAACCCTATTGTTCCCTATCACTACCTCTGCCACTATGGGATTTGAATCGATAACTGAATCTGTGTGCTAATGTGGTATGGCAACTCGAACTGATGTAAGTACGTACGTAGGAAGTTCCACGTTGTTGCTGACTGACTGACTGACTGATTGAAACCTGTTATGAATGTTGTTTTTTTTTGTAATTATGACTTATAACCATTTCAGATATGAATCAATATTTCCAAGTAAATCTTATGTATTAAATGAAGTGATGAAATTAAAAGATCAATATCTTTATAATCCTATATCTAAAGTTGTTTTATGCCATAATGATATGAATGCAGCCAACATTATACTGGCACCAGATGAAAGTGAGTACATATATAATATACTTTAATATATTTATATATTTTGTTAAGATCCAATAAGAATCCTTCCGTTAACTCTTTGAAAGTCACGAAAAGCTTAAAAACATTTGTCTTTTTTAATCATCAGTATTCATTACGAAGTCTTTAAGATCATCTAGAAAATCAGTGGATTACTTGACATACTTTGTCTGGATGATCATCTAGGTTTAATACACTTTTAGAAGTTTACAGAAGGTCAAGGTTACTTATTAACCTAAGTAAACTTTGATGTTAAACATATATTCGTACTTCACACCTTTTCTCCCCTGTTCAATGCTAAGCTATGGGGGGGGAGAATATGGAGTTCTAGAAAGTGACTAGAAAGTCATCACCAGACATACAGTTGCCTCGGAACTCACGTCCATTTCTATTGACACTTAAAACGTCAGTATGGAAAAACTTTGGAAATTCTACCTAACATAATGTAGTACAATAAATACATACAGCATTCAATAAATAAAATTTATACTATTCAATTGTAGCCCTTCATGTTAGCAAAGTTGGCGAGTGTACAATAAAAATTAAGGATAATCATAATAAATCAATAATGTAACTAAAGTAAACGTTTTTCACATCTGGTTCATAATTATTTAAAGTACTTTAATTTTAATTGAGATCATGAACCGATTAATGTTAGACCAGTGTTGGAAACCTGGAAGCACTAGATGGCCGTTTCGTCCTATTGTGGGAATTCTCAGTGGTAGTGCACATCCACGATCCCGCTCGCGGGATTCGAACCCAGGGCCTTCAGTCTTGCCTGCGAACGCTTAACCTACCGGACCACTGATCCGGAATCCAATAATGTTAATGTCTAACCTTAACCAATCCACTTTAATGTTATTGGTATATATGAGTACTCACTTCTAGTTACGTAGTCAACCAACTAATCTGGCTTTGATCTAACTTCTTTCTTAATTAACATATAATTTTCATTCTAAATAATCATGATATGTTTACTCCTTGATTAAATGGGCTTATTCAATACTATTGGAGTATAATTTGTTAAATGATTGTTTTCAATGTTGTCCGATTCAACTTACATCAGATCTATACTCTCATAATTGAAGAATAAATTATTTAACAGAATAGATGATATTATCTCATTTGATTATACAATTTCCAGAGACATTCTATGTTAAATACAGTCAGAGAATGTTTAAGATTTTAGATTGAGTGATTATAAGATTTCAATCTTAAACTTGAATGGATAGATATTATCACAGTTTTAAATCACGAACTGATCTTAGTTAGACTATCATTGAAAACCTAAGAGTACTGGAAGGTTGTTCCGTTATATTGGGCTCTTCAGCAATGTCTATTCGCAACCCTTCATTCGGAAATTTAACCTAGGAACTTCAAGGTTCATGTATGAATTCTTGGCCTCTACACACTAAGCCAGTGAACATGTCCAGTCAGTACTTCCAAGTTTTCAGCGGTGGTCAAACTTAAACCGGTAAGTAGTTTAAAACTGCGGAAACTCTACAATCTCTACAAACACCGTTTATTTATGACACATATTTGTTAAACAATTAGTCATAATCAACGTACATCTCGGTATATGCGTGTTGACCAAAGTCCATATACTACAATAACACGGCGCGAGTTCGAGATGGGGTACAGAGAAGAAAACTATTCGGTCACCTGATTGGTGGGCAAGCACACGAATGAGAGAAGACAAGACAACTGGAACACTACTCGATCTATTTCCCTGACCACTGGATTTACTGAATTCACTGAATTCAGATTAGTGTAAAAAGGTACATGAATAAATAAGTGAATAACCCGACCGCAACGTACAATAATTAGGAAAAATACAATTATGTCCAAAACTGGGAATCAGAGTAAAAAATAGGGTGCAAATTAATATGTTTAAATTACAATAGCTTCAGAACAGAAAAAGGTATGGCAGTGAATGATACATCGAACGAAAACTTATGTTCTGTAGAATAGATTAGGGACAAAAATAAATGTCAATGTTTTACAAGCTTTGAATAAAATGAAATAACGTCCCGAAAAATAGCCTTCGTAGTTTGTCAGGGCTTCTTGTTTCCCGGTTCACATCAAAAACTGAAGATTTAGAATGGGATAAAGTGTAAATGCATCTGGTTCATTGTAATTGTCAACTTTAAATGTCAACCAACATGCTGAATCACTGATTGTAGTTATCACGCTGACTCCAACTAGGCAATCAGCATCTACAGACATGACAGAATCAATAATCAATGACTTTGTAGACTGATGCCAAATTTTGGTTTGACATCTTATATTTGTACGTGATTCTGCCCTGTTTGTGATCGAATGTGCAGAATAGGACTATGTTCCGGTCACAATGAAACAAACTTCTCTACAATGTGCAACTATTGAATAAAATATTATATAACTTTTTCGAGTCTTTTTGACTACAATAATGTTTCTAGAAACTTGAGATGAAATACTTTTTACATAACAGTTTATATACATGTTTGAAATGTTTTATCTGCCAGCAAATGTGAATAAGAGAAGTAGAGAAGTTTAGAGATTACTGGATAATAGTCTTGTCTTAGTACATGATTGTTTGGTACTGCGTACTCTCAGCCCAATTACATTGATGACAGTCATTCTATATATCTGCCTTAATATAATGCGGCAGCTGTTAGACCTAAAAGTTCTATGTTTTATCATTGACAAGTTGTTGGATGCATATGCCTGAGTAGTCCTAAGTTTAATGAGGACAACTTAAATTCACTTTGTATTGTTTACTTGAATCTGATATTTAGGAGTGTAATTGATCAGTCTTATGTTGTCATATGTGAATCCTGTGCGTATTGCTTCGATATTGCCTTAATTCAAAAGCATTATAAGCAACGGTGGATAGTGGCTAGCAATGGAATCTAGGATGCACGTTTCATCCTAATTGAGACTGATCATCTGGATATACCTGTATCTCGAATTTGATGTTCACTTCGGGACTCGAACTCGCTTCAATCGTTTATAAAGCTTGTAAATTAAGGCAATATCGAGGCAATACGCACAATTTATGCATATATGCCAATAAGAGACTCATCAATTGCAGTCCTAAATATCAATAGGAAGATTCAAGTGTATTTAAACTTCACACCATTGCACAAATAGGTAGCTATCAGCACTCACTGGCTAAATGGATAACGCGATAGCGTTTGAAGTGAACGGTAGAGGGTTCGAGTCCTGGAATGAATATCAACTCTAAGATACAGTTACACCCACCTGACGAGCCCCGAATAGAACGAAACGCGAGTCAAACTAGATCCGATTGCTAGTCAGTATCCATAAGATATAACTTAGTTATAAAAATTTCTCACCAAATCGATCAAATATTTCTATAGTTTATTAATCTCTTATCATTTTAGTCATTACATTATATTACACTAAAAAAAATGCAAAACCTGTTTATTGATTGTATGATGGAAAATGTAATTTTTTTTGGTGTGTGGACATAGATATGGGTATCTTTCTTGTTTTAATGCCTTCATAGATTCAGTTCACTTGATTGATATGGAATATTGTGACTTAAATTATGCTGCATATGATATTGGTAATCATTTTTGTGAATTTACTGGTAAGTTTTTTTTATTCTAGTTTCATTATTATTATCTTGGAACCTTAATTGATATCCTATATTTCAGATTTATGAATTACAATGATGACCAGAGGTTTCCTTATCTCATGTCAACAATTCAACCTGACCGTTGTTGCTACCTTGACGTGGTGGTCGGGCTTGCCTATCGTGATGAAGCAACTGAGCTATACTGGCTGGAAAAACCGTTACTCAAGGTCCTACCATGCTAGACAGGTCGGTTGAAGAGCGGTAACACTAAAAGCAACAAAACCAAGGTCCGAAGGCGAAGTCGTACTGCTGACTGTACAGAGGTGTGACAGCAGTAAGGTGTTTCCTTCAGACAACCAGCATGACAGCGATGCTGCCTTCCCAAAAGGAGGGGTGGGGTTAGAAAAGGTCGACCCTAAAAATGCACACCTCGCCTTATCCCACGGATATCCGTCTCCGGCGGTAAGGACTCAACAAGTACGGAGCTAACACTAAAACTAATCATAAAAAGGTCGTGTGTGACCGACCTCAAGCAGCTGTCTTTGGGCACTGCGATCACGCTCTCAGGTCACTATGACCACCTCTAATCAAATTTCCTTTTCAGGTACCTCCAGCAGAACCCTTCCACGGTGTGGGCAACCGGGAAGTGATAATCGCCCTCATACCTCTAACAGCGCTCAAGACCACTGTATTCATAGTCAACCTCCCCTCAACAATTCAAATAGTAATACTAATAGGCAAATGTTCTAAACTTGTTCAATTACATTGCTGAACTATAAACAGTTACCATTGAATAAATATAAACTAAGTTAATATTGATTCACCATTCATAAAACGTGTTTTCTACATTCTTCTTTGAATGTGTGGAGAAGTCAATAGTCAGCTTCTATTAGCATGATATACATAAATATTTATAGATTTATATACAGTTATACTGGATTGTATTGCATAACTAAGCATAAACAGATCAAAAGTAGTTGTGATTAAGGCTATTTTGAATAACCTACTGACAATAAAATACTTCTATGAATCCGGTGTTCATCTTGTTGTGCTAATGAGTGAGGTACGGCAACATGGACTGATGCATATATGTGCCTGATTCTACGTTGAAGCTCACTGACTGACTGAATAAAATAGGGACAATAAAGAAGTAGTGTGGTGTGGGTTACTTATATCCACACAAGTAGTATATGACGGTGGTCAGGCATAGAATATATTTCAGTAGAAGATCGATGAGGAAAGAACGCAAACGAAACTTAATTGATAGGAAAATGCATGAACAATGAAATATGAGACAATGGATTGATGTTTGCAACAGGAACAGTCAAGTTTGATATGATGGATTGATATTTTACAAATTCACGATTAACTATATATGGTTCTCAGATTTTATTGAGATGCTCTGTAATTATATGCCTAAATACATCCGATTGTTCCCCCCACCCGTGTTCTGTTCACTATAGTAGTATGATAGCATATGAGACGAACGTTTACGATAAACCAAATATATAAACATAATAATCTAGTTACTAAGTCATTATATAATAAAAAAATAAATAGTTTTAATATGAGACACGATTGTTAAAGTGCCAACTTCTATACATAAACCAAATTATTTTCATTATATAATCCACTAAGGGGAGGGGTCTGGGGAGGGGAATCATATCTAATGATAACAAAATTCGTTACTTAATCAATCGATATCGAATCAAATTTTATTGATTTTTGTATAAAAATTCAATTAATATACAAAAGTATACTTATTTATAAATTCACTTGATGTTGTTTTATTTATATCTTCCTATTGTTATTTAAGACTGCAATGGATCATATATATATATGGATCCAGTGTGGATTACCTCGATATTAGCCTTAATTCATAAGCATTATAAGTAAAGGTTAATAGTGGATAGCATTGAAATTCAGTTTCATGCACGTTTCATTCTATTTTGGACTGGTTAGTTGAATGTACCTGCATCGTGAAGTTGATGTTCATTCTGGAATGTAGGTGTATTCAGTTGATGAGTCCTAAATAGAACGAAACACGCTTCATACTGAATTTCACTGCTAATCTGATAAATCTTGCGATTTTGAACGCTATGCTCGGTTCCTAAGCTATTCTTGAAAACCCCCAAGCTAGAACTATACAGTGACCTGAACACGAGAGAGAAAGGCGTAGAGTATGCGAAAAGTACTTTACTCCAAGGTTCGTTTTTGTACAGAAAAATACGGGTATTTATAGATGTTAACATTTGTTAAATCAACATCATATTTTGGCCAATCCGCTAAAAGACATATTATGCTACTAACCAATAGTAGCACGCCACGTTGGTATTCTAGAAAACTCCATCATGCTCTGATTGGCTAAAACTCTTCGGTTCCTTCAGGGCTTCCGGAGGCTCTGTTGCAGTTCTCGGAAAGCCAACTTAACATAATCACTATCCATCTTTGTTTAAATTTTACTTATTATTTTATTTTACTCTAAGTTATACTGTTAACCAATATTGTTCTTTTCTTTTCTTTTAATTATAACCATTTATTACAGGACCATATGCTCTAGAGTTTAAACGTTATCCTTCAATTGAATATCAAAAAGAATGGATAATCATATATTTAACAGCATATTATCAATATTCCCAATCAAAATTACAATGGAATAATTATCAAGAAGATGATATCAATCAATGGATTAAAGAGATTAATTGTTTTGCATTAGTAAGTTCAACTATATATATTGAATAAGTTCATATAAACGATGAAATGGATTGTGAAGTGGACTTAAATGAACATTTAATCACTAGAATGAATAGATTGATTTTTATAGTTGATATAGTTTCTATTTTTTATTTTGGTATATCATAAAGTGATTCAAATTGAAATTAAATCAATACATAACCATGACGACGACGACGGCGACGATGACGACGATGATGATGATGATGATCACGACGATGACGAAATGGTTCTAATAGAAAACTTCCCTTTAACTTTATATCATGGAAGATTTAAATTAAATGTAATCATGTTGAATGGACGGTGAAACTATAATTTATGGATGACTATTTAGCAACGCTAAAATAACCTTGAGGGTGTTCATCTAATAACTAGGACTAAATGAGGGTTATAAACCAGTATTAGAGGAATTAGAATTATAATATACAGTTAATGATTCATTACAAACTGACATTAGTTGAAATACCAAAACGCTATTTAACCAAATGGATGGGTGAATGAATTTCGTAATCAAATTCGAGACCTTTTGATCTTATACATGATGGGTTCGTTCATAAATTATAGTCTCGCCGAATTGACTGTTAAACTGAATAAGACCTATGGGAAAATCTGTATTAGAATATTTTAATCTAATTTTAAATCATTAATCAGTATAGATAGACAAGCTTTCAATGCCCATTGGGTAACTCTAAATGTTCAGATTGATTTTGTAGATCAAGGCATAAGTTTACTTTGTAATACATTAGTTTCAAATGAGTACCTTATATATCAGGATAATGATTGCTTTACAATTAAAATAGACGAATCGATGAAAATCAAATCATTGGTAACTCACTAACTTACTTACGCCTGTTACCCCCCACCCCCAATGGAGCATAGGCCATCGATCATTGCTAAGGCAAGTGATAATAAGAGACTCAGTTAAACACTACTGGTTCATAATATTAGCAAGTTAGTTAGTCTTCTACAACGTACGACCAAGCACATATATCCATCGGTTCAAGTTGCCATACCTCATTAACATTACAAGATGAATACCAAAGTCATAGTGTATTATGTGCTACTTATGTAGACATAAGTAGTATATGATGTGAGTCGTGAACAGAATGTCTGCCAGCAGAGAAACGAGAAGATTGAACAGTAAAGAATGAAAAAAGAATGCAATTTGTATGAAAATGCAAGAACTAAGAAATTCTGAGTTATTTGACACAATTGATGGATATTTTGCAAATTGAATATTTACTATATGGTTGTTAAATTTTCCTTACAAGTTCTGTAATATGTTGTTAAGTAAATTCGATTTCCCCCCCCCCACTGGTGTTTTTGTTCACTACAATAGAAGTAGTTAAGTCAATGGTGGTTGTTTGTAAAAGAAAGATTACATATAAGGATTTCGTACATGAAGATAGAATTAGATGGTGGAAAGAAAGATATGAAGCGATTTTAATCTCATAGTTTAGAGGAAGACAGAGAGTGTATACACACTCAAACCATTTTGATCGATTATGAGCCATGTCATCCACAGTCTATAACCATTGATTACGATAGTCACGCCGACCACAAACAAGTAGTCTGCATCTACCAACATGGCTCAAACAAGAAGTTGGTGACTTCAAGTACTGATGCAACATTTTGGTTTGTCCTTCACTAACTTTCCCCAAACCAACTCCAACACCAATCAGCATTGTGCGTCGTGATAATTAGTGTTCAGACATACGTAACAGGTGGCCCAACCATCTCAGTTGATGAAGATTCACAACCTCATCAACTGACTTACTATCATCATTCCCTAATGCCCTACGTCTAACCTCACTATTACTTACCGGTTGATCCCAGCAGATGCGAGCCAGAAAAATGAAAATTCATTTACTACGTAACTTAGATTATGTTGCTGTGTGATCTGAATAATCCCATTAGATAGTTTTCTCAGATTTCGAACCAGTCAACATATGTCATTCAGTCTGTTATCAATTTTACTTTGACTGGGTAAAAAAGAAATATATGATGAATTATAATTATGCTCATTCATCCTAGTTAATAGGTTGTGTTCTCTTCTGATATACTTGAGACTCAGTTAGACTTTATGTCCGGTGCATTCTGCCAACTACTTACAGCTATCTAAAGTCTGAATGATAATGTCTCTAAACGTTTAGTTGAATACACGAGTCAGTCTAAGCTAGATCACTGTTGAAAACCTGGAAATGGTGTTGTAAATGCTTACTGCTGATGAATCTCATACTAGAATGGAACGGCCATCCAATGTTTTCAAGTTTCCAATGGTGGTTTAGCTTAGATCAATTTGTGAATTCAACGATTAAAATGTATTATCATTGTAGACCACATATTTAGATTTTTATAAATTGGGGCAATATTCTATAAGTTAAGATGAAAGTTATTATAATACCAAATAACAATTCTCAGTGAAGTCACTATATGTTATTACTGTGAAGAGAGAAAACTAACTACTTAATTAATATATGATATTACATGATAGTGAAGTACACTTTTCTTCCTCTAATTTTAGGTATCTCATTTACTTTGGGCTGTTTGGGCAGTAATTTGTGCATCGGAAAACTTATATTCTATGGATTTTCTAGCGTAAGTTATTGTATTTTGCTTTTTTGTTTCGATTAAGGATACATTAAAAAGTTGTTTTTCCATCTTTTAAATTATGGAGAGACTTTAATGAAACAAACTCTAGAAAGCATAAAGTAATTGATATATGTTTTGTCTTAGTAGAAGACTTCACAACGGCAGGTATCCATAACTTGATCACGAATTGAATTCAAGGCTGTGAAATATCAAGATGAGTAATTTACCTCCAAATCAATTCATTGACAATTAATAGTTTACATTCTCAAGTTCAGTCAAACTAGGTTACTCGTTATGCTTAGGAACAATAAATATGGTATCAAGAGGATGATAGGATAGCTAATGTTTACCGTTCAACATATCAATTCATACATTTTATTCAAGATTAAAGAGTTTCATTGGTCACTTGATTTTCAGTCAATTGGTTATTATCAAAACAGAGCCTCATAACAAAAAAGAAAATTATCAACATCTACAACATTTGACTATGAATGTCAACCGGCTTTCGATCAGGAAGTTAACATCTACTGACGTGAATTAAAGTGCCAGTTAAGAAATTCATGGATAGTTGTCATTTCTTGATCATTTTGACCTCACCTTTTTTCTAGCCGATTTTATCACTTGTTTAACACCTGTATTAGCTCTTTTGATTGAATAAGGTTTATAATGTTATATGTTGACTTGCTTTATTTGCTCAATAACATACTTTTAGCCTTAGTATTTCTCTCTTTGTGCTTCCATATGATATAAACAATGTTTCACAAACAGCTATGATCAAATAATTCCAGTCTTCATACACTTTCTACCTTCATGTATGGTTTTTCACAGGCATAGAGCGAAACAAAGCGGTAATTATCAGTATAAGGTTGTGGAGATTATTAAGGTTTTGATTGAGATCATGAATTGATTGAGATTCGAACCTCGCGAGCGAGATCGTGAATGCACACTGCTGAGGAGTCCCATAATAGGACGAGACGGCCGTCTAGTGCTTCCAGGTTTTCAATGATGGTCTGACATCAATCAATTCATGATCTCAATGAAAAACGGTATGCTAAGTAGTTTGCTTACCCCTAAGCTATTGAATAGATTGTTGTTATTGTACTTGAACGCTTAAACTCTGGTGGACTACTTAACCGCTTCCCTGTCCACTGAAATATTCCATCTACTCTTGAATTCCAAACAAAAAACACAGATCTAAAAGTACCGAAAAAGCTTTACTATGAAGGTTAATTAGTTCATTTACAGAAAATATGGATGTTTATAAAATTACTTGTGACATTGAAATCGAAGAATCTTTTGAAAAAATATGGTAGAAATTATTGGCAATAGAATCTATAAGTGTACAATTATTTAGTTATTTTTTTAGGAATTTCGAAGGACTCAGTAGCTAAGTGGATAACGCGATGGCGTTTGAAGCGGACGGTACTGGGTTTCAGTCCCGGAGTGAACATCAACAAGTCTGAGATGCAGGTACATCCAGCTGACGAGTCCCAAATAGGACGAAACGCGCGTCCTGGATTCCACTGTTAGCCACTATTTATCTTTACTTATAATGCTTGTAAATTAAGGCAATATCGAGGCAATACGCACAGTATGCACATATGCCAATATGAGAGACTGATCAATTGCAGTCCTAAACATCAATTTGGAAGATTCAAGTAAAACAATATCAAGTGAATTTCGAAGGAATGTTAAATGATCGAAGCATATTCACCCTTTTATTCGTCCTCTCATCATCCAAAATTCATAAGACGGACTGCAGTGCGAATTCGTGCACGGACGACAGCTGAGAGAATCATTCCAAGTGAGGACCGTAGTCAGACAAGGCTGATTAGTTGAAACATTATTTAAAATGTACAATTATTTATAAACAATTGTCTACACAAGATATTCTCAGCAACGGCCTACTGTGGAAGAGAACAAACCAGCTTCCAGCTGAAGAGTAAATTAGGAATAGACGATGGAAATGGATAGGATATATATTGAGGAAATCATCGAATAGCATCACGAAGCAAGCCGTAACCTAGAATCCTAAATGGAAACGGAGAAGAGAAAGACCAAAGAACCCATTACATCGAGAATTGGAGGCAGACATGAAAAGTATAAATAGCAACTGAAAAGAAATGAAAAGGACTGTCGTGAACGGAGTTGGATAGAGAATTCTTGTAGTGAGTGATGAGATCAATGCAGAGCCAGAGCGGCTTATGTCAATCTAGGCCATTTTTTGGCTCCTTCGTGATGTTAGTCTGGCTGTAAAAGGTTGGATCTACAACGCGTCGGTGAGAGCAGTTTTGTTCTATGCTTGTGAAACCAGGCATCTCCAAGTTGAGGATGTTAGACGACTCTCTGTGTTCGATCATCGCTGTCTCCGAAAAATTGCTTATATCCAGTGGCAACACCATGTTAGTAATTGGTGCCCTCTTGTACCAAATAAATAAATAACTCCTTCACGAGAGGTAACAGGTATAAATAAGCAAGTAATTAGTCCTTTGAAGAATTTTTCAATTAATCATCAACAATTCACAGAAATTCTTTCATTTCATCATTAAACAAAATATTGATTGACAGAACAATTAAGGATCACATAGAATAGATCATGAATGATCTATATGACATTCCTTTTACATCATATTAATCAATCAATCAATCAATCAATCGATATTTACATTATGATAATGATTATTAAAGATTTATATTTCATTTATCTATATATTGATTGATTCATTTATTGATTTATTCTAGATATGCTGATTCAAGAATGAAACAATATTATCATATGAAGAAATGGTTATTATCAACTTTTCAATTACCTGTTATGTAATTTTAATTGATCAATTTTAAAAGTATCCATTTTGATACTGTTTAATTAAAACTTTAGGAATAAACTATACAAAATACATAACTGGTTAGCGTTTTTTTTTCCAGCAAGTTAGTTTTCTACAGGATGGAGTTGCTAACTCCATGCTCAACCCTCATTCTTTATCCGGGCTGGGACAGGCAGTAGCACTCGGAGGGTCTCCAGGCGGAGTTCAAAACACATATCAGTCTACAGAATCTTTGTTTTCTGAATTTACCATTGTCTGTTTTATTGAAAAGTAATCAATATTACTAACAAATGTATTAGTAATATAAATAGTATAAAATATGTATGAAGTCATTTATGAAAGGTTGTTTATACATTCAATGACTTTCATACTCTATATTTAGTGAAAGTGTAGTATGTACTACTGATATCGATAGATATAAGTAATATGTATCATCAATTGAATGTGAAGGGTTTGGTGACAGAAAGTTAAGAAAATCAAAGAGAAGAGAATGAGAACAGATAACAATTGGTGTGGAAATGAAAGAACGATGAAGTCTAAGACGATTGATAGACATTTTGTAAATGAATTATTTACTGTACGAATTTTAGATTTTACCAAGTTATTCTGTTATGTTGTGCTGTAATGCATTTGGTTAATCCCTGCCGGTGTTCTCATTCACTACAGTATCTTTACCTCAAAATAGTTATCAATAGGATTACATTGATTTGATTCACAAGCACAAGCAAGTGGCTATCAGGACTCGGTAGCTAAGTGGATAACGCGATGGCGTTTGAAGCGGACGGTACTGGGTTCGAGTCTTAGAGTGAACATCAACTCTGAGATGCAGGTACATCCAGCTGACGAGTCCTGAATAGGACGAAACGCGCGTCCTGGATTCCACTTCTAGCCACTATCCATCTTTACATTGATTTGGTTTAGGGGATCTAACGCTAACTCTGATGGTAGTAATAAACATTGATAGTAATATTCTGTGAAAATGAATATAGAATGAACACCAGCTTATAGGTATGATTAGGTTGGTAAAAATTACTGGATATTCATGATAATCAAACAAGTTCACACTATTCAACAAGATGTGATTTAAAAGTCTCTTCAAAGTGATCATATGGAATAAAATCAATAATCAAATGTATGTGGGTTACATTAATCTTAGTGATATCATTCTATATTACAGCATTCTGAGTTGTTTATAATCCACAAATAATAATAAAGTTTCATTCAACTATTTCTCAATCTTCTTCATAGTTTTCCTGGTTGGTGAATCTGATCTTCACACAAATAGATTTTCACAAGTTACCATCTAAACCAGAGACTTGACGATAAAGGTTTCCATAATCTGCATATAATGATGTGTATTGTGTCATGGACATGTGGATGGTATAGAAGCATCACCGTCACTAAGAACATACACACACACACACTTGAAGGACATCACATATTACGGGAGAACTGTTTATTGTATACACTAAAGTCATCTATCTTAATTCTGTTGTATATAATGTTATCTACTAAAATAATTAATAAGTAGGATTATTAATGCTTTATTCTATGTAACCAATTTGTTTATATTAAACAAATTCTAAAAAATAATTATGTAATGGAAAGCTTAATAAGACTATAATTTATGGACAACCTTTGAATGACGACAAAATGACCTTGAGAGTGTTCACCTAGTAACTAGGATCAAATGAGATTTATGAAACATAGTGGGGGGATTAAAATTATGATTTTCAATTGATAGTTAAGGTTAGAAATTAGATTTAGGGTTTCCTATCACGAACTGACATTAGCTATAATGCCAAAAGTCTATTTAATCAAATGGATAAGTAAATTTCGCTCCAAAAATTCAAGATCTTTTATCTTATATTTGATTGGTTCATCTAAAGAACTAATCGTCTCGCCGAAAAGTTTTGTCATCTAACCTCTTAGAAAAGATAGATGGTGATTAGCAAAACGAATCTAGAATGTGTGTTTCATCCTATTTGGTACTTATCATCTAGATGTACCTACATGCAAAGATTGATATTCACTCCAAGACAGATCAATAACGATCCCAAACATTAATGGAAATTATCCATTTATCTTTTAAACATGCTAAAAAAAACCGTCTATAAAAAAAGATACATTTTTCAACAGTACTTTACTAATGCATCATTTACATGAAAGTAAAACTGGAAACATATTTTTTCTTCTAAGATGACATTGGTTTTTATAAGTCACAATGAACCATCTATTTCTTTCTCTAAAGAATAGATAATGTGGAATATATTAAAGACTAAATATCAAATGAGGTTGTTTAGTGACCCCGAGAACTGGACTCCAATCAGATCGTTTCTGCATCCACGATCCAGCACACTACACTTGAACCCAAGACCTATCGGTGTTGCGCACGAACGTTTAACCTATAGATCACTGAGCCGGCATCCAACGGTGTTAATGTCTAATTTCAACCAATTCACGAAAGTTCACCACCGTCCAGTATCAACTTCAGTGAATTACTATCTCATAAGCTGTAGTCAATAATTGTGAAATACATTACCCATTTCATATATTCATATTCATCTATAATTTCAAATGTAGTTTAACTGAATCTACAATGTCTTCTATTAAAATATGATATCATTTAATAAAACTAATCAGCAACAAACAGTGCTGTTCTCTAATTCTATTCACCGAACTAAACGAATGTAACATTTCACTCATATTGAATCATTAAGTTTTTTTTCATTCATGATTAGTGATGAACAGATTCGAAGTTTAAACACATGGAATTTCTGTTCGTGGGATAAGAAGTGTACACACAGATATACACTCAGATAAAAACAGTCAAGATTGATTAAATGAATAATGAACAAGGTCAAAATGTAACTCAAGTAGAATAAATAGATTAGCCTGTTCAGAAGTAAGAATAGAGTATATGGGCTGTAACATAATAACCTACATTACAATTACATATTACTCGTTGAAATCATGAATCCATTGAAGTTAGACCACCATAGAAAATCTGAAAGTACTGGACAGCCGTTTCGTCCTAGTATGGGACTCCTCAGCAGTGCGCGCCCACGATCCCGCTCCTCGCGAGATCCTAACCCAAGACCTATCAGTCTCGCATCAGGCGCTTAACCAACTAGACCACTGAGCTGGTCGGCATCCAACGGTGTTAATGTCTAACTTTAACCAATCCACGAAGTTGCGCCACAGTACACCATTGTCTTCAGTGAGTTGATATCTCACAACAGACCTGGTTGAACTCCACTGGTAACGGCTTCTCACTAGAACTTCAGGAGTATCTATTGAAGTCAGTCACTAGTGAGCAGATGATTATTATTATCAGAATGGATTGTGTGGAGATTTTAGAAATTTCACTGGTTGAAATCATGAATCCATATATTGATCAAGGAGTAAGGAAGAAAATAATTTATGGATCAATTAATTATCATAATAATAAACTGTATAATAATCAAGAAAACTTCTTTAAGGTAAAGGATTCGAGTTTAAAATTACAAAACAATAAATTGATAATAATCAAATAGAAGTGAAGAAGAAAGTAAAAAGTAAACCCGAAACATACCCATTAAGAGAATTACGGTTAAGGAAGGAATGTGAGATTGAACAAATCATTTTTTACATAGAAAGTTCAGGTTTGAGTTCATGTATTGCCAATAAATCAGCAGTGCATAAGATATCGATTCAACTTTCCTTCGATCCAATTCCTTTAACTGTGTAAATTACTTTAAAAGAAGACTCCTTTGGAACGATATGTCCACAGTTGATCAAATACTCCTGTATAGAACTAGAAATTGTTTTACATTTTCCTTTTAAAAGCCAAACCGGATAGTGTTATGAGATGTGTAAATTTATTGATGTAGCCGAAAGCGGATGTTTATACTTAACCCATCCATGAATGGTAGGCCATCTTCAGAAAACAATTTGAAGCTTAGTTGTGTAGGACGTTTTATTCAACGACTTTTAAATCCGTTTATTTAAGATTTCAGCACCCGTGTCTCCTTTGAATTCCATATTCATAAAAAGAGTCTTCTTTTCTACTATTGATGCCTTTTCATAATGGTGTCTAGGTGTTAAATTTCTATCAACGAACCTAGGTGGATAACCATTTCTAATGAGAGTCTGTCGAAGTTGTAATAGTTCCTCAACTATTGTGTCAGTGGAACAGGTTCCCTTAATCCTTGAGGATAAAGAGTGAATTAAGTTCCTCTTCCCACTCGATGGGACCCAACTATGGAGATTCATGAACTGCCCATTCTAGGTTGGTTTACTATATATAGATCTCTATAAAAAAACCATCCAGCCTTCTTTTTAATCGGACACCAGGAAAATGAAATTCATTGTTTGCCTCTGCTTCTAATGTGAATTGAATTGACGGGTGACAATTATTTCAGCTATTCAAACTTTCATTTAGGTCCATGTCTTCTTCGTAAATAATGAAAATATCATCCATATATCTTTTATATAAATGAAATCTCTCAATTATTGGTCAAAATTGATAAGTCTTGCTAATGTAACGCTAGATTTGGTTCCTAAGCTCTTCTGGTACGCCCCCCCTCCAGGTTAGATCTACACAGCGATTTGAACACGAGAGAATAGGCGTGAAATATGTAAGAAACACTGTACTTCAAAGGTTCGTCTGCGTAACGAAAATATAGGGTTATTATAGTATTTTAGGTGTTCTTAGGTTTCCCGAAAATTCTGGAATGTTGCTAAACATAGTAGCAATATAAGTATTCATCCAATAGAAAAGTCTACATGTGACTTTCCACTTTCTTGATGTTTCTGGCAAAAGTTTTAGTGAACTCTGATTGTATAAGATGTTTCTCAAAGTTTTCAGAGACTTTCTTGGCTTTTTTTCAAGGAGTTTTCTGGATCTCCTCAATAGAAGTACAGAATTTTCTTGATTGGCCATAAAACATGAAGTATTAATCCTTTTAAATAGTATTATAGTTCTCATATACACGGTGGAACTGATGAAGATGTA